CCAGAGACGGAGACGGGGAGGTGGCGGCTAGGGCAAAAGCCCTAGCAAAAGGGAAAAAACCCTAGCAGATGAATACAACGCATTTTTTTTTTTTTTGAATTAACATGAATACTATGCTCTTAATGCTTCATTAAAGCCTCACTTTTATTATGTGCGCTATTATGTTCTCCTGCATGGCCCAAAAGCTTTTATTTTCTCTTTTAGTTCGTAAAGCCCTCACTAAAAAACGAGTCTCTACCACCTTGACATGAAATAATTTTCTCTTGAGGCTTACATAAATAGTAATAAAGATAAAATACACCATCTTGTTTTACATTGTATTCTATCAAATCAGAAAATTCTTCCATCCATTTTGTATTAAATCTACATGTAATATTTCATATCATTGTTTGAGGGAATTGATGGCTTTTTTGGTTGATGCAGTTCCTTCAACAAATAAGCTCTACAAACTTTATCCTTCTCATTCACATCATAATTTCATATTGATGGTGGAAGATTGGGGCAGTAGGGAGATTATTAATAACAATCTCGACATGTTCTTTCATCTTCAAGAATCATTCCATTTGTCAAAAGGCTAACAATTATCTATTCAATCAGGAGATTCTTCAAAGATTTAATATGATCTTAGCAAAATAAAATACTAAAATTAGCAATCAAACACAATATTTCACATGATCAGTAACATAACTAAATTTTTATCATATATTTCAATTACAAAAATAATTACTATATTTATGAAGCAAACAACTAGATTCAGAGATCTAAGTGCACTAACTACATTCCTCCAACCACTAACCTGAAGAATTTGGAAGGCAAAAAATAATTCTTCTGCTAAATTTTTTTTTATTCAAACAAGAAATAGACTAAGAAAGCAATTTTTATTGTTATTAAGTATTACAATAAGTATTAAACAATACCTAATAAGGAGAAATTCATATTTAAGTTGGCTCAAAATTAAAACAGTCCTAACCACAATCAACTTGATTACAATTTTAGCCTAAATTTTCAATTTATTAAACTAACCTCCATTGCCTCGTGTTGGCTTAAGGAGCCTTGATCATATTTTGTATGAATGTCATTATATAATTTTATTTTGGTTGAGCTTAGGCTCACAATTTGCCTTGTTTTATTCATAATCTCTCTATATCTTCTTTTTACCACAGAACTAAGTAATTCCAATGAAACATTATTTCAAACAAACTCCATAATTGGCTCCAAAAGTCCAAATAACCACAGCTTAAAAAGTAATATCATTAACCGAAGCTACTTCCAGCATTGCAGATTTCTAAGCTTCAACTAAACAAGAGATTTATATCTATATTTGCTTAATGCACTGTCCAGGTAATAAGTGCTATTTTAACTAAAAGGAGTAAAAAGGGTAGCTAAGGTGGTGGTGATTAAAACAGAAATGGGATGATCGTAAAGCTAGGTCCGGTTCATTTCATGTGATGCACCGCATCAATAAGGCCAAATAAAAGAAAACAATTTTAAAGAGTATTGTTGCGGGCTAGAATATACGCGGCGATAGAGTTAAAATACTTTCGTCTTAGCGTTGTACGAATATTCAGCACACAAACAAGAAAGGAAAATAAATACCATGATTTTTACGTGGAAAACCCGAAAGAGGGAAAAAATCATGGGGCCAAGCCCAATTGAAGTAATTTCACTAGTGTTTGTTTGAAGTACAGATGCTTATTCGTCCCACAAGTTAGGACGATCATATTACAAAGAGTTTCTTCTGAATTGAAATTCATTTACAAAGTTATGCAGAATCCCGGCATCTCCCGAATATCGGCAGAATTCCGGTGTATTCAGGCTGCGGAAAGAAAGAACTCCGGCGGTGGTCGAGGAGGAGATGATTCTTCTCCTTCTCTTCTTCTTATCTTCTCTTTGCTTGAGTCCCCTCTTGTGAAGAATGAGGGCTCTATCTATAGTTTTTCTGGAGTGGCATAGCTCGTAAATAGGCGTGAGATCAAGGGCAAATAAGGAGTAGTCGAATGGACGGCTGATATTGAATCATTTGATTGTACACCGTTTGTCAGACATTTGAAGGCCTTAATGATGTTGGAATTTGACGATCTTGCTTTCGTTGGATTCGTCTCGTCGAGCCGATCGATTTGACTATAAGCTTGTCAAAATCGGAGACCATTTGGTAACTCAAATTGTGGTACGAGCTTTCCAACAGCGCTTCGGGTGCTTGATTTTGGCTCATTTGGGCTTGGATTGAGTTGAATTTGGTGTCGTTGGGTTCGTATTTCCGAGACGCTCAGTTTGACTATAAGCTTGCTGAAATCGGAGTTCAGGTGCTCGCGGATTTAATTTTTGAAGTTTCCAACTTGATTTTTGCCTCGAGATTCGTGCCCGATCAAGATAATTTTAGCATTCCGTATCAAGTATAAATAATACTAAAAAGAAAAATACTCTAATCAAATTAATTAGCTGAATAATTAATTTCAATTAACATTATTTTAATTTTAAATCACTTATATCAATCTCTTTTGAATATGATTAGTATATTTCTTTTGAATTCATTGTATGAAGAATATTTGATCGCCTTATTATGTTAAATTTTAGTGTTATGGAATCATACTGATCAGTGTATTTGGGTAGGCAAAATTGTATTAATTGATCATGTAAGAGCTTCTCAAACTATATGAAATTGTAGTATGAAATGTTTAAATTTCTTATAATTTGCATTAAAATTTAATACACTTATTCTCCTGCATTGTACATAGTATCGCCTTTAAGGATTAATTAATTGCTTTGGTTGCTTATAATTTCAGTTTTTTTTTTTAAATTTTAACGCATTGGTTATAAGATTTCTATGTTGATAATATCCACTGAATTCATATATGTGCAACACTTTTACTGATTTTCACAATTTTATAAAAAAAATAGTTTTTTGACATTCTTTGTTTTTGTGTGTACTAAAGAATAGCGGTGGTTTTAACTATTGTTACATAGCAAAATTGTAGTGATTAAAATTTCTGCTATTTTATAGATTTGAAGTAGTTCACAAACCGCTACAGAAGCACTACTAGCGAACACAAATACAATTGATTTGTAGCGGTCGTTAAACCACTACTTTTATTTCTGTAACTTTTTAAACTGCTGCAGTAGGCAAAAAAAACACTGCTAAAGCTATATTTATTAGTAGTGAATGTCTTGTGTCATTATTAAGCTTGTCTTGAAAATGTTATGAAAGTCTAAACTATTTTTGAATTAGATATTTTATTAATTACATAAATGTCCTCAGCACATTTCATACTTGTAGATTTGTTAGTTCGAGTTAAATTTCAGAAAAATTAAATTTTATTGTGAGAAATGCTATGAATTTTTTTTTTAATCATTAACAAAATCTGTTAAAATTATTAAAAAAATCAAATGATGTAGTGGCATACATCATAATAAATTTTTATATTATATCATACTTTAAGTATTTATAATTTATAATGCTTAAATAATTAAAAATATTTGTTAAATTTATTAAAACATAAAAAATATGGGAAATCTCCAAGAGTGGCCCACTTAATTCTTGTAAAAAATTGATAAAAACTATTTTTGAATTAGATATTTTATTAATTACATAAATGTCCTCAGCACATTTCATACTTGTAGATTTGTTAGTTCAAGAGCTCAATTTTTTATTTTGAATATTGAAAAAAGATAATTAATTAATCTAGTATCAATGTTGATGTCTTAATTAACATTAATCAACCCATCTTGCATGGCGACAAGCAAAGTCAGGCCAAACTCATGCTCATATAATATGTGAGCTCGAATTTAAGATTAAATTTTAACTTGTGGCTCGATGAGCTTGACTCGTGAGCTCATTAAAGAGCGAGTTAGAGCAGGCTCACCATCCGACTTGGCTCTCTTGCAACCGTACTCTAAACCTAATGTCCAGAGCCAAGCCAAACAATTTAAATTTATTTTAATTGCTCTTTCAATTAACTCCAATTCCTTCATTTACTGTGCCATTTGGTGTGGAAACCGATTGAACCTGCAAAACAAGAAAGGAGAAGCAGGGAAAAGAGGGAATAGCAGGAGAATAGAAGATGCAAGGTTAGCAGGAAGAAGAAGAAGCTGTAATTTCTATTTTCATTCTCTGCTTCTGCCGGTTTACTATGCATCCATATAAAAGAAAACAAGTAACTAAATGCTGAGCTGGCCACTACTTGGCCCATTTAAAAACAGAAAGCGAAATACTAAAGCTGCAGAAGAAGTGGCTGTCGTAGGTAATAATGGGCCGGTGGAGAGTTGGCACATGTCGCATGATCGGCCACATCACCATTTGTATACCTTATATATATTTTCTTAGATAGGAAAGAAAATATAATTAAAACATGATTATTGTTTTCCATGTTACTAAAATCATTCATAACACCAAAAATATTATTTATTTAATTATTGTTTAAAAAATTATGTTAATATCAGTCAAATTGTTATATTTATATATCTATTATCAATTAAAAATAGAATTAGTGTATATAAAAATATTTTGCTAAAATTATTAGAGTTATTGTGCTTAAAGTTATTACCTTATCAATATTATCACATTTGGTTAATAATTATGGTAGAAATTTATGATATTTATTATTTTAATGTTCCTTCATTTTAAGGATATTCTCTTTTATTGAATTTCTCTTATTGCTCTCTTTTGTTGCCTTTATATAGGTATATTTTTTATGATTTCTATCATAGTATCAGAACCTCCCCTTCCTCCAACTTCTCCTCCTTCATTTGATGATCATTTTGTTGTTGGTTTCATGAAAATTCTTCCTAGTGCTATTGTAGGGTTTCTATTAATGAATATTTTATTGGTTTAATTGCTTGAGATGATGATAACAATAAACTCTTTATCTTGTATCGCATATTATATCAAACCCCTAGCTCTAATATATGCTTTCTATGTACTTCATAATCTCAGCATCTCTTCCAATTATATGATCCTATTTTAGTGCATAAGTAACGTCATAATTACATTTAATTCTAATATCTTATAGCACTCTCTGATCAATGAGGCATCTCATATTGCGAATGCAGAGCACGTTATCCTTGAACAGGAAATTGTGTCTGAGAGAGTAATCTCGGTGCGGCATAGGTGGTTCACTTGTCAACTTGCCCCACGGCTCAGCGAAGTCATCATCCGTGGCATAGAGTTCCTGTATAGAACTTAGATCCGGAGCCTCAAGTTGCAACTTGGTTAACAGCGCGGTGCGGCGACTAAGGGCGTCTGCGACTCGATTTTGCGCACCAGACTTGTGCTTCAAAACGAAGCTGAACCGCTGTAAGAAGGTCAGCCAACGGGCATGCATTTTGTTCATAGTCTTCTGGCTATTGATGAATTGGAGAGCATGGTTGTCGCTGCACAACACGAAGTCCTGATGCAGGAGGTAGTGCTCCCACTGCTTTAATGCTCGAACCACCGCATACAGCTCTTGCTCGTAAGCAGACCAATTTTGACGCGCCAGACTCAGTTTCTCGCTGAAGAATTCGATTGGCCTTTCCTCTTGTGAGAGGACCGCCCCAACTCCGATTGCAGATGCGTCGGTGTCCACATGAAATGGCTTGGAAAAGTCAGGGACAGCGAGCACTGGTGCCGTTGTTAACGCTGACTTCAATGTGTAGAAGCTGCGGTCTTGTTCCGGCGTCCACTGGAAGGACTTCTCTTTGAGACAGTTGGTGATTGGTGCAACAATGATGCTGAATCCCTTGATAAACCGGCGGTAGAAGTTGGCCAGCCCGATGAAACTTCGAACCTCCGTTACTGATCGTGGAATTGGCCAGTCGGTGATAGCCTGGACCTTTTGGGGATCCATGTGCACCCCCTGCCTGGAGATGATAAAACCGAGAAAGTGGACGGTTCCTGTGGCAAACTCACATTTTGGGAAGTTAATATAGAGCTTGTGTTCTTTCAAAATAGCAAGAATGTTAGAGAGATGAATGCAGTGATCTTCGAGTGAATTGCTATAGATGAGAATGTCGTCAAAATAGACGACACAATACTTCCCCAGAACCGATTTAAGAACTTCGTTCATGAGCCGCATGAAGGTCGCCGGATCGTTGCAGAGCCCAAACGGCATTACGCGCCATTCAAAAAGCCCATCCCTCGTCTTGAAGGCTGTTTTCCACTCGTCACCGGGCCGTATGCGTATCTGATGGTACCCACTTCGGAGGTCCATTTTTGAGAAAATATTGGCACCAGCGAGCTTGTCCAGCATGTCTTCAAGGCGGGGCACCGGAAAGCGGTATTTTACGGTTATTTTGTTGATAGCTCTACTATCAACACACATACGCCAACTGCCATCTTTCTTCGGCACGAGTAACGCCGGTACCGCACAAGGGCTAAGGCTGGGTTGTATCAGCTGCTTTCGAAGCAAATCCTCAACAATTTCCTGCAGGGCAGCGTGCTCCCGAGGACTCATTTTGTAATGCGGAAGATTTGGTAAATTGGCTCCCGGTTGGAGATCTATCTGGTGTTGTAAATTCCGCAGAGGTGGTAATTCATTAGGCAGCTCCGCTGGCCAGACTTCTTTGTAGCGATAAAGGATATCGCGGACAGCCACTGGAATGTTAGTTTCCGTTTTGACGGGAGCGTCATTTGAAGCCACAAGTGCTAACATTACAGAGTCTTCTTTCCAGGACGTAACAAGGTTATTACCGGAGACCACAAACATCGTGGATTTTCCGGGTGCCTCCTTCTCTGCCTCGCTAGTAAGCCGTGGGAGCAAGCGGATTTTGCGTTGCTTCCACTCGAAGCTGTATGTGTTGGCGCGTCCGTCGTAGACAACTCCCGTGTCGAATTGCCATGGCCACCCGAGGATCAAATGGCAAATGTCCATATCCAGGACATCACACAGAACTTCGCACATATAGCTTTTGCCAATTGAAAAGGTCACCCTGCACATTTCGGTTACAGCGATCTCTACCCCCTTTTTCACCCAACTAATCTTATAGGGGTGTGGATTGCGCGTTGTCTTGAGGTGGAGCTTGTGCACAACGGATCGGGAAATGATGTTTTCGGTACATCCGCTATCGATTAAGAGATCACAGACGCTGCCATTGATAGTGCAGCGTGTGCGGAATATAGAGTGCCGCTGGGAGTTCCCATCTTGCCGAGGCGCTATGAGAAGTTTCTCTAGAATGCAGGCTAGAGTCTCGCCGTCATCCGCTTGTAGATCTTCAAAGTCCTGTTCGTTCACCAATTCGGCTCCCTGGTATTCATCATCCGGTTCTCCTTCCATCAGCTGGACTTGTTGTCGATTCGGACAATCGTTGGACTTGTGTCCCGGTTGGAAACAACGATAGCATTTGAATGTCGTCGGCTTGGCATATGGGTTGGCGTCTTTAATGGGTGTCTTCATTCGGCCGGTGATTGGATTCTTAGGTTCCGCTCCTAGGATCCCAGCCCCTCCGCTGGGTGGAGGTGGTAGCTTATTTCCGCTAGGAGCATTCGCCTTGCCGGAATCTCCACTTGGTTCTACCACAAAGCGACGAGCAGTGCTACTCCTTGGGTGGCGGTTCAATTGAATTTCAGCTTTGAGGGCATAGTTAACTGCTTGAGAGAGAGTCCACACGGAATTCATCTCAAGTTTGTCTTGAATGGCTTCCTTCAAACCGCCGATGTAGCGCGCCACTAGTTGAGTTTCTGACTCGTTCAAGTTGTTCCGGGCACTCAAGCGGTAGAATTCTTCTGTGTATTCGCTGACGGATCGCGTGCCTTGTGAACAGTGCTGGTATTGCACATAGAGCATTTGTTCGAAGTCCGTCGGCAAGAAATGCCCCCTCAACAGCCGCTTCATCCGGTACCAGCTAGTTACATTTCCTTTCCCTTCTCGTCGCCGGGATTGTAGTAGTTGCATCCACCAAGCTCCCGCCCCGCCCTTAAGACGACAGGCAACGTACTTAACTTGTTTTTCGGGCGCTATCTCCATGTAGTCGAAGAAAGCTTCGACAGCTCGCTCCCAATCCAGGTAATCTTCGATATGAAGGCGACCATCAAAAAATGGGATATCTAACTTGATGCGGAACTCCCCTGTTTCCCGGTGTTGAGCTGGATATCTGCGGACAGGTTCATAATAAGCTGGTCTTTCCTCTTCTGCAGAATCCGACGCCTCAATCGGCTGCTGAACTTCCACCTCATCTTCTGTGTCTGAGATTATCGGAACTGCATTGTGACGCCGCCGACGAGGGTGAGGACGTAGTGCCAGTGTGGTTGCCGGCGCAACTGGTACCCCCGTCGTGAAATGTCGATTCGTCCTCAGGGATCGAATCTCGGTCCTCATTTCTGCCGAGAACCGGAAGAACTCCGTGGTGAGGGCTTCCATCTGCCGAGCCATGCTAACTTGAGCTGTCCACAACGCATCTACGCTTCGGTCTTCCTCCGTCGCAGGGCACTTGCTTCCCTCTGCCATGAAGCCTCGCTCTGATACCAAATGGTGTGGAAACCGATTGAACCTGCAAAACAAGAAAGGAGAAGCAGGGAAAAGAGGAATAGCAGGAGAATAGAAGACACAAGGTTAGCAGGAAGAAGAAGAAGCTGTAATTTCTATTTTCATTCTCTGCCTGTACCGGTTTACTATGCATCCATATAAAAGAAAACAAGTAACTAAATGCTGAGCTGGCCACTACTTGGCCTTTTTAAAAACAGAAAGAGAAATTCTAAAGCTGCAGAAGAAGTGGCTGTCGTAGGTAATAATGGACCGGTGGAGAGTTGGCACATGTCGCATGATCGGCCACATCACCATTTGTATACCTTATATATATTTTCTTAGATAGGAAAGAAAATATAATTAAAACATGATTATTGTTTTCCATGTTACTAAAATCATTCATAACACCAAAAATATTATTTATTTAATTATTGTTTAAAAAATTATGTTAATATCAGTCAAATTGTTATATTTATATATCTATTATCAATTAAAAATAGAATTAGTGTATATAAAAATATTTTGCTAAAATTATTAGAGTTATTGTGCTTAAAGTTATCTTGTGGCTTGATGAGCTTGACTCGTGAGCTCATTAAAGAGTCGAGTTAGAGCAGGCTCACGATCTGACTTGGCTCTCTTGCAGCCCTACTCTAAACATAATGTCCAGAGCCAAGCCAAACAATTTAAATATATTTTAATTGCTCTTTCAATTAACTTCAATTCCTTCATGTACTGTGCCATTTGTATACCTTATATATATTTTCTTAGATAGGAAAGAAAATATCATTAAAACATGATTATTGTTTTCCATGTTACTAAAATCATTCATAACACCAAAAATATTATTTATTTAATTATTGTTTAAAAAATTATGTTAATATCAGTCAAATTGTTATATTTATATATCTATTATCAATTAAAAATAGAATTAGTGTATATAAAAATATTTTGCTAAAATTATTAGAGTTATTGTGCTTAAAGTTATTACCTTATCAATATTATCACATTTGGTTAATAATTATGGTAGAAATTTATGATATTTATTATTTTAATGTTCCTTCATTTTAAGGATATTCTCTTTTATTGAATTTCTCTTATTGCTCTCTTTTTTTGCCTTTATATATGTATATTTTTTATGATTTCTATCATAGTATGAGAACCTCCCCTTCCTCCAACTTCTCCTCCTTCATCTGATGATCATTTTGTTGTTGGTTTCATGAAAATTCTTTCTAATTCTATTGTAGGGTTTCTATTAATGAATATTTTATTGGTTTAATTGCTTGAGATGATGATAACAATAAACTCTTTATCCTGTATCGCATATTATATCAAACCCCTAGCTCTAATATATGCTTTCTATGTACTTCATAATCTCAGCATCTCTTCCAATTATATGATCCTATTTTAGTGCATAAGTAACGCCATAATTACATTTAATTCTGATATCTTATAGCACTCTCTGATCAATGAGGCATCTCATATTGCATCCCTCATTTTTCTATATAGTTATCCTGAAAATAGGATATTTAACTAAAGTAATTTTTCTCTTAGTACATCTAATGCAGTTGGAACACAATGCTCTATGAAAAAAATCTATATATTTAAATTTCGGATGTATATTTGCATGTTCGCATATTACTTTTTGCAATACAAAAAATTTAATTGTTCCAATTGCATTAGTAGAAGTAGAGAAAAAGTATTGTAAACAAAGATCCTATCTTTCAGAATAAGTATGTAGAAGAAAAAGGAAGAGAAGAAGCTTCAATGATCATAAAGAGCTACAAAATCTTACACTTAAACATACAATGTAATGTTACTTATGCCACAAAAGAAAAGTATGACATGTGATTGGAAGAGGTGGTTCACTTTGGTATTTTGCAAGAGGTTTTTGTGAGAAAAAAAATTTGTTTTGGGAATATAATTATGTTTCAAGACAAATAAAAGTTATTTATGAATGTTCATAAGCATTTTCTTCCAATTATTTTTTTTTTTTGGATTACTTTATTTTGATGGTTCTCATAGTAATTTTGTTCACTTCTTTTTTATGTTAATCCTATTCTCACTCCTTTTCTTTTTTATGTGGGTAAAAAATTGTGTTGGGCATATAAATATGTTTCAAGACAAATAAAAGTTATTTATGAATGTTCATAAGCATTTTCTTCCAATTATTATTTTTTATTTGGTTTACTTTATTTTGATGGTTCTCATAGTAATTTTGTTCACTTCTTTTTTATGTTAATCCTATTCTCACTCCTTTTCTTTTTTATGTGGGTAAAACATTTAAATTTCTTTTACTCTTTAGACCACAATCTTCCTCCATTGTGCCATTTGTGTATCTTATAAATTCTTAAATTACAAGAAAAAATAATCATCAAAACAATATTATAAACTTTGATCAAGCTTAATTTCTTTCTATGTGAGACAACTCATTATGACACAAAAATATTATTTATCTATTTATTATTTTAAAAAGTTATGTATATATCACTTAATTTTTTTATATACATACATACTTACACACACATATATTATAAATGAAAAAATAAATTAGAAAATTCATGTATATGAAAATGTTTTGTTAAAATCATTAGAGTTATTATGCTTAAACTTTTTATTATCAATAATATCTCATTTGGTTAATAATGTGGTAGAAATTTACAATATTTATTATTGTCCTTATTATTGAATATATTATCTTTTATTGAATTTCCCTAGCCTTGTTACTCTCTTTTTTGGCCTTTATATTGGTAGTTTGCACTCATAATAAATTTAATCAAACAAAGATAAAGCTTTTTATGAATTCTACTATGGTATTAGACCTTCCATTCCTCCAACTTCTTCTCCTAGGTCTAATTATCGATCATGCTGTTGTTGGTCACACAGAAATTTTTTCTAGTACTTTTATTATTCCGTTTTTATTTATGAATATTCTGATAGGTCTTATTGCACGAGAGATGATAATAATATACTTTTCATAATCTTGCATAGCACCTTCAATCAAGCCCCTAGCTCCAATATATACTTGTTATATGCTTGATAATATCATCATCTTTTCCAATTATATGTCATATTTTTCTAGAGCATGCATAATGGTGTATTTATGTTTAACTATAATATCTTATAGCTCTCTCTGACCAATGAGGCATCTCATAAATGAAAAATATGAGGCTTCTTCAATGGTTAGAAAGAGCTGCAAGATCTTATGTCATAAATGAAAAATATGATAGATAATTGGTAGAGGTGGTGATACTATAAAGTATATAAGAGAATATATTTGAAATAAGGTCTTGATTGAAGTGCTATGCAGTATTGTGAAAAGGGTATTTTAGCCATCTAGATTTTGCTACTTAGTTCAATATTTGGCTTCGTTTCTCATCACCGTCTTTTGCTACGGGAGTACTTACTGTCCGGATATCGAATGCATCCAGAGACCAATAACAAAACGCCACGTCACTAAAGCGTTCGGTACCGTGCTCGGTACAGCACTCGGTACCGCGCTCGGTACACTCGGTATGCTCGGTATGCTCACCGGATGTAATAATTTTTCTTGCTACGGAGGGATTTACCCTCGATTTTTCTTATTTTGAGAATATTATGTTTCGTTATATTTACTTTATTGCACTATTCCCTTGCTTTTATATGAGCTTATTTATTATAACACCAAATTGAATAAGCAAGCATGTAATATTTTATGATTTCTATCATATTTCGGAAGTAAACTAGGCGCAAGTTAATCCATTGAAGAATTTAAAATTCATCACCTAGTTCATTTTAAATGCATATAGAATTTATCTAGTTTGACTAAATTATAAATATATTAAAAAAATTAAAGTTTCATTCGACCCCTATCGTCCCCTCCACCTTCTGGCTAGGGGTGTCAATTTTGGGTCACGGGTCGGGTTCAGGTCGAACCCGGAACTAACCCGACATTATTCGGGTTCAGGTCAATCCGACCTGTTTTGCAATTTTCCAGAGTTGAACCCGACCCGCTTCGAGTTCGGTTATCCCGATTTCTCACATGCGACACGATAGAAAGCGAAAGCGCGACAACGCTAGCAGGCCAGGCAGAGACATGACAGCAACCGACGTGCGGACGCGACTCAATGCGACATGACACGACGCAGGATGGCGATACAGGTGGACTAGCGGACCGCGGGGCAGACCGGGCAAGCGTGGCAAGCGAGGCAGCTGGGGCAGGCAAGGCTATGGAAGCAAGTTGACAAACTCAGGCAGGGCCGGTCAAAGCTGGCAGACGAGTTTCTGGTTCATTCCCGGGTCAACTTGAACCCAACTCGGTTTTGCAAACGGGTCGGTTTTCCGGACCCGAACCTGACCGGCTTCAAATTCGTGTCAGCCCAAACCCAAAATTTTTAGATCGGTTTCGAATCGGATTTTAAGGTAGGGCCCAATATTGACACCCCTACTTTTGGGAATCACCCAAATCTCTCATCTCTTTGGCCTTTGAGAGTTGTAGAGTTTATGCATTACAATCTAGAATCCACTGCCCATTGTTCTTGTCACTGTTCAAGAATGTTGCACGTCCTCTCTTGCTTCTCTTGAGGTGATTTGTTTATATATATATATTAAATTTGTCTATATAGAAATATTTTGTTAAAATTATTAGAGTTATTATACTTAAAAGTTATTAGCTTATCGATATTATCATATCTGGTTGATAATTACATTATAAATTTATATTATTTATTATTATAATATATCATTAGTATTGAATTTATTCTCTTTTGTTGAACATACCTTATGGCTCTCTTTTTTGCCCTTTATATATATTGGTAGGTTTGTACTTATAATAAATCTAATCAAATAAAAATATAACTTTTGTGATTTCTATTATGTTATCAGAACTCCCATTCCACCAACTTCTTTTCCTAGATCTGATTATCATTTAGTTGTTGATTGCACAAAAATTCTTTCTAATGTCATTTTTAGACATTTATTTATGAATATTCTGCTAGGCCTTATTG